TGCACTCAATGTAGAATCTCTGTCCTCCAGCCTATCCCACCAAGAAGATAAAATATATAATGTAGATATGGCTTATTAGTGGGGTTCTTCATTCATCCCCATCAATCCTGCTTTTCACTCATAATAAGTAGGAATAGAGATGTTCCCACTACCACAGTACCATTATTCCAAATAAGGAATTGCTGGGGGTTTTCCCTCAGGGAAAGTTTTCTTTGCCAGTTTTGCCTGAAAAAAAATATAGAGAGAGGATATATAGAGAGAGATATATACATAGATATATAGATATATATGCAGCATTTCTCCACAGTTTCCCCTTTTTGTCTTTAGCCATAACTGCTCTCAGTAAAGCTTTCTCATGTATTTTTGCTCAAGGTTATAGATTTAATCTACCATCGCTCAAAGATGGAGCTTGCAAATGCAAGCTGTTTCCTTTCTTCTGACCTTGGACTGATTTCTGGAATAGGAGGATAGTGCCATTTTTTTTAACTTGGCCATTTTCAAAATGGAAGTTTCTATAATAAGGTCTTAGCCTCCCTACTTCCAATTTTTTTCCTCCTTCTATCCATTTTCCCAATTACAACCAGAAAGATCTAAAATGCAAGTCTAATCAGGTCAGTACCCTGCAAGAAATCATTTGATGACTCTGCATACTGTTGGGATAAAGGCCAAATGCCTCTGTGATATGACCCCTGTCCACCTCTTCTGCATCATCTATTATCATCCAGTCCCTTACTCAATATAACAGCATATTGAATTTCTGTTAGTTATTCAAACACCCCATGATCTGGTCTGCTTGCAAGCATTAGATACGTGCTTCTTTCTGCCTGAAATATTCCTCTGACACTGACCACCCCCATGCACTTCTTAACTATTAATAACTCTTCAGCTCTCAGCATAATAATAATGAGCTACCATTTTTTATTATTTACCAAAGCACTGTGCTAAGCTATTTATATGTAGTAACTTATTTATTTTCACAGCAAATCAATAAGGTGAACACTATTATCGTTCACATTTTAAATATGAGGAAACTAAAACTTAGAACAGTTAAAAAAATTGCCAAGGGGCTGGAGCTGTGGCTCAGTTGTAGAGTACTTGTCTCACAAGTATGAAGCATTGGGTTTGATCCTAGCACCACATAAAAACAAATAAAGGCATTGAGTCCATACACAACTAAAAAAATATATTAAACAAATTTTGCCAAGACAATAGAGCCAGTAGATAAAGGAGCTGCAGGCAGACTTCAGCACTCCAGAGGACCTATAACAAACTCCCTAGCCATATTACTTTTATGTCACTTCTTTCCACTCTTCAAATTTGGGTTGAGTATGTAGGTGTGTGTGTGTGTGTGTGTGTGTGTGTGTACATACATATGTATATGGAGATAGCTGTTTGTACTTCTCCCATCATAGCTTTTAACCCAATGTATTATAAATACTTATTTTTTATCAAAGTCTTCTAAAATTTATGAAATTCTTTGAGTGTGTTGGTCATTTTAATGGCTGTGACTGAAATACCTGACCAGAACAACACAGAGGAGGAAAAGTTTATTTGGGGATCATGGCTTCAGAGGTTCAGTTCATGGTTGACTGACTCCATGGCTCTGGGCCTGAGATAAAGCAGAATATCATGGCAAAAGAATGGAGGAGGAAAGCTACTCAGCTTATGGCAGCCAGTACACAGAGAGAGAGCACGAGGAACCAGGGACAAGATATTATCCACAAGGTCGCAACCCCACTCCCCGTGACTTACTTCCTCCAGCCATGCCCTACCTGCTTACAGTGATCACCTATAATCCATTCAAATTAATCCATAAAATGGATTAATCCACTGATGAGATTATAACTTTCATAATCTAATCATTTCACCTCTGAACATTTTTGCATTACCTAATACATGAGCTTTTCAGGGGTACCTCCTATCCAAACCATAATAATAAGGTTACAAACTATAAAGTATTTTTTTTTATTTTTGTATCCCACATTGCCTGACACAGAGCAAGAGCAAGTGCCTTTTTTTTTTTTTTTTTTTTTTTTTT